GTGTGTGTGTGTGTGTGTGTGTGTGAGAGAGAGAGAGAGAGAGAGAGAGAGAGAGAGAGAGAGAGAGAGAGAGAATGTTCATTTGTAATAGTCTCAGTCTGTAGGCTCAGGCTAGCATGGAACTTACTATGCAGATCATCAGGCTAGCCTGGAATTTGTGGCAATCCTCCTGCATCAGTTTCCCAAGTGCTGGAAATTCCAACACTTTTTCATCTCTTTTTCTTTTCCTTATTCAATAATCTGACCTGGATTCCAGGGAATGTAGCTTCATGTGTACATTGGAATATGAGTTAAATAAATCTGTTCTCCCCCAACCTTCCTTCATTTGGTGCCACTTAACAACAAGTGCTCTTTGGGGTGTAAGTTAGGGACTATCACTGGACTCCTGTGAGTTTGTGCCACCCAGTGGCTAGAACTAATCACTGCATCCTGAAAAGTGCAGGGCATTCCTGAATAAACGCAACACAGGTAGGTAAGTCACAACAAAAGCCAAGTCTATATTACTGCCCAGTGGGAAAATACTTCCTAACAGGCAGACGGTTCCACTGTAAGTCTCATTTTCTAAATGACTTTAATAGAAAGGGCGAGGGTATATTACACAGTAAGCCACAGAGTAAGAGTAAGATTTGCAGAATTAAGAGAACAGGAAAAGCCCAGAGGCAAAGGTAGATAGGATAAGTTAAGTTAAGGAAAGCTGGCAAGAAAAAGACAAGCCAAGGCTGGATGTTTATAAGTAAGAATAAACCTCTGTGTGTGATTTATTTCAGAGCTGGGTGGTGGGCCCCCAAAAAGAACAAAAAAGACCAAAAACAAACAACAACAGACTCTGCTTTGATGAATGACATAGTAAGGTGGTCGGGTTTTCAGCATATTCCAACCCATATTTGCTTTGTTTGGGTAGTTTTTGTGTGTTTTCAGCATATTCCAACCCATATTTGCTTTGTTTGGGTGATTTTTGTGTGATGATTTTTTTTTTTGCTGTTTTTTTGTCATCATTGTTGGGGTTTTTTGTGTTTTGTTTTGTTTTGAGAGAGAGAGGGGGGTCCCATGTAGCCCAGGATAGCCTCAAACTCATTATGTAGCTAAGCCTGGCCTTGAAATCCAATCCCACTTTTGTCTCCTAGGTGCCAGAATTGCAGCTGTGAACCACCACATTTGAACCTATTTCTTTTTTAAAAATACATCTATTTTTTTTCCATTTGAGTGTGTATTCAAATACCCATGTGTGTGCCATGGCATACACTGAGGCCAGAGAACAAATTGGAGGAGCCA